CTCGCCGGTGGTCCGGAGAGAGGCAGGGGACGTCATCCCGATCACGTCGGGGAGGCTGGACCCGCGGGCAGCCTCAAGCTTGGTCTCGAGCTCGATGGCTACGGACGTGCGATCGACCTCGGGTTTCACGGCGTCGCCGAAGTCGCACACCCCTCCGGAAGGTCTCCGGACGCGGCGCCGCCTCCTGCTTCCTTGTTGGCCTCCTCCTCCTCTTCTCTCTCCTCTTCCTGCTGATAGACTCCTGTGCTCTTTCCTTCCTCGTCCTGCGGGTGACCTCCTGACCTCGCGCTTTCCTCGACGTGCCAGCGTACTGGGAGCCCCGACGGGGCCTCCTCCATGTCTGGCCCCGGGACCTGGTCACTACCCCCAGAGACCTTCTCCCCACGGATCTCTGGAGCCCGGAACCGCCCGATCGGCAGGCGTCTCGGCCCGAGCCGATCTCAAGAAAACAGGGCGAGGATCGAGGGAGGAGAAACGAGTAGGCGCAAAAGTCAGCGGCCTTCAGTCCTGGCCAGCCCACCGCGGCACCCGCGGCCACCTCGAACAGGCGCGGGGGCCGGGCGCCGAGCAAGCTCACGAGCCTATGCCCGGACGGCTCCTGTGCAAGGGCAGCTCGGCGCCGCCCAGGTCGATGACGCCCTTGCGCAGGTCGACCACGGCGCCCACGGACCCCAGCCACTTCACAGGCAGCAGCGGCGGAATCGGGCCCTCCACGATGCGAAACAAGATAATCACTCTCCGGTTCGGAATCACGGTGATCGGGGCCAAGGCCTCGCCGATGACCTTGACGCCTGGCCTGGCCAGCCACTTCGCCGTAGCGAGTCGGGATCTCCCAGCCTCGGCGAGCGCAAGCGGCCTTCAGCTTCTCCAGACGCTCGCTGCCCACAAGTGCCTAGCCCGCCGCCGTGTCCACCATGCCGGCTGGCTCGCGATCGTCGTCTAACTGCCACGCGCCGTCCTCGACCTGAGCTACAGCACGACAGATCTCCTCGATACGGACGGCACCCACCAGCCAGGTCATGCCCGAGCTCGTGCCGTCACCCCCCCGGACGCACATGCAGCCGCGCGGCTGGGCCTCGGCCTTGGAACGAGGCTTCGGACGAAAGGGGTTCGGTCACTCCTTCCCCCAGCGCCCCTTCTGCCCGCAGTTGGCGCACTTGGTGCGGGCCTTCAGCTTCTCGATGCTCAGTCGTTGCTTGCCCGAGCCCACCTTGCCTCCAGAAGCCTTGCTGGCCCGCATGCTGTCGAAGAAGTCCCTGTCCCTGGCCATCGCCCGCTTCAGCTCCTTGCTCTCGGCCCATCGCCTGGGCTTGCCCTCCTTCTCGCGCTTCTCGTCCAAGATGGCGCCGATCACGGCGCACAGCTGGTCCTCGTCCAGGTCCTGGTGGCCCACAGCCACACGCACGGCCTCGGCGTCGTCGTGCTCGAGGACGGAGTCCTCCAGGAACTCGACGACCCACTCCTCGATGTCTTCCTCGTCGTCGCCTACCTGCCCCTGGACGTTGGCGACGGCATTCTCCACGGAGGCGAGGACCCTCGACTGGCCCCCCCCCGGCACCTCCGGCGGAGGCCTTGGCGGCGATGCGCTTCACGTCCATTCTCATCATGGGTTTCTTGATCGAGTCCAAGTCGCCCCGACCCAGCGATATGCTCAACATGTTTATGAGGTGTTGCTCCTACAAGTGCGCCCCCGACTTCAGCTGCTCGACCTGTATCTTCTCGGGCAAGTCCAATCCATACTTCTTGGCCTCCCTGACTTCTAGATCTCGTCGCTGCATGAACTGCGTGAGAGATTCCCCCGGCTTGATGGCCACTTCCTCCAAGGCTCGTCTGAACGCTTCTTTCTGCTTATCGCCATCTCGATCTCCTCGGACTTGTCTGAAATATCGAATGAGAACTTCCAGCCCGTCGACCTTCCGAGTCGATATCTTCTTGAATGTTCATCAGCTTCTCCCGCAGCTCCAGCGGCAGCTCGTCGACCACTCTTCCTCCCTGGGCTGACGGGGCCAGGGAGGACCTCTTGCTCCAGCGTCTCAGGCTGGCCACCCACGTGTCTAGGCGGTCGAAGCCCGGCCACGCCTGCGGCCCCATGTTGTCTCCTCTTGGCGGCGGCTGCGACTGCGGCTGCGGCGGCAGCTCCGGCCACGCGCTGCTCCCGAGCCCCGTCTCGACGGAGCCCGCGGCTGCCGACGCCGGGCCGGCGAGGCATGCACCCGCATGGGCGCCTCCTGCGCGGCGGGCACGGCTGGCGCGGCCTGCGCAGGAGCCGCGGCGGGCGCCCTCAGCGCTGCCGGCGCGGCTGGCGCGGCCTGCGCCTCGGCGCTCGCCGTCGCGTCCGCGTGGACGTCCGCCGCACGCTGCGCGGGGGCCGCGGCCGGCGCCCTCGGCGCGGCGGGCGGGGCCGCGCTCGCTGCCGCGGCAGCTCCCAGCCGCGTCGCCGGCGGCGCTGCTGGCGCGAGGCTCGACCACTGCTGCGTCCCCTCGCGACCCAGCCACGTCGTCGCGTAGCTGGCCGTCTCGACGGCCGACGCCCAGACCTCGGCGGCAGCTGCGCCGGCGGTCCGAGCGAACCCTCCCCATGGGTCTCCCCGCAGCCAGGGATCCTCCCCCCGGCGGTCATCAACCCACTGCCACGACCAGGACCAGGTCCAGCTCCCCTGACGGCTCCATTCCTGACCCCAGTCAGGTCTACCGGCCGTCTCGCTGTCCTCTGGCTCGTCCCCTGGTGGGTCTCGATCGCCTGCGGGGGCAGGCGGCTGCTGGTCTCCGGTGTAGGCGGGTTGCTGCACGTCTGCCCTGCCCTCCTCCTCTGCTCTCACTTCGGTGTCGATCCGCCCTGGATCTGCCTCAACCACGACTGCTCCGCTACCATTGTTCGTTGCACGTCACTGTTATGACACAATCTGGACAGGCTGAATCACGGAAGGAGAGGAGCTGGGGGCTCGGGTCATTTCTCAGCATCGCGCCCTTGAGCCAGCGCCCGCAGACAGCACACGTGAGGGGCAGCACTGGGGGGACAAGGGATGGGGTGTAAAGGAAAAGAGAGACAGCAGTTTCGGTGCCTGTTGGGGGCCGTTTGGATGTTTTTGTTGTTGCCTCTCGGGAGCCTCTTGGCAGCTTCTTGGGGGTCTCTTGGGGCGTCCCCGGGGCATCCTGGGGCCCTCTTGGGGCCTCCTGGGACCTCTTGGGGCCGAGGAGCCCGAAAAGTCCGTTCGGATCCCGCGTTTGGGCCCCTTCTTGGAGCCGTCTTGGGGACCTCTTGGGCCGTCATGGGGGCCTCTTGGATCGTCTTGGGGTTGTTTTGGGCCGTCTTGGGAGCGTCTCAGGCCGTCTTGGGGCGGTCTTTGGGGCCTCTTGGGCGGTCTTGGAGCGTCCGGTCGCCGAAAAGGCGAGAATCCAAAAAAACTTCAAAAACCATTGAAAAATCAATGAAGTTTGCCTCTTGGAGCCCTCTTGGGACGCCTCTTGGAGGCCTCTTGGCGCGTCTTGGAGGCCACTTAAGCCGTTTTGGGATCATCGTGGGCGTCTTGGAGCGATCTTTGGGCGTCTCGTGGCCTTCTTGGACCATCTGGGGGGCCTCCTGGGCCCGTCTCCAAGCTGTCATGGTCCGTTTTGGGGCCGTCTGGGAGCCCCTGGGGACGGTCAGGGGAGGGAACCGCGCATATACAAGGGGGGTCGCTGCCCGGGGCCCGGGGCCCGGGATCTCCCACATATATATATATATATATATATATATATACACATATACATATACATATACATATACATATACATATGCACATACATATACATATACATATATATATATATACATATGCATATACCTATACCTATACATATACCTATACCTATACATATACCTGTACCTGTACCTGTACCTATACCTATACCTATACCTATACCTATACCTATGCATACATACATACATACATTCATACATGCATACATACATACATACATACATACATGCATGCATGCATGCATGCATGCATGCATACATACATACATACATACATATATGTGTATATATATATGCATGCATACACACACGTGCATACACACATACATACATACATGCATGCATGCATGCATGAATGCATGCATGCAAACATGCATACATGCATACATACAGATGTATATACATACATATGACGTATGTGAGCATACGCATGTGCACATATACATATATGTATGTATAAATGTGTGTATGGATATGGTAGTAAGTGGGTATGTGTATGACTGTGTGTATACCTACATTTGTGCACACAGACCTGCATACATACAAACATACATATATACGGACATGCATGCACGCATATGTCGATCTACATACACACATGCATGCATGCACACATGTATGTGTGCACACATGCATACATACACACATACACACAGAACCCATCCATCAATGCATCAATCCATCCATACATCCATGCATCCATCCATACACACAGAACATATTATGTGCATGTACATAGACTTGTCGAAAACATCACGGGGGGAGGGCAGGCGCAGGAGCGGCAGGGGAGAAGACGATCCCCCATCCCCCAGACTTCCGACGATGCGTCCGCGGCCTCCAGCTGGTACCCAGCCTGCTCCACCGACTTCACGGGCGGCTCCTCCTGGCGGGCCCATGTCGGAGGCCTAGAGATTGGCACCAACACCAACACAAGGAACTGCATCCACAGGGGGAATATGATCCTAGATTTCGGTGCTGGTGGCAATATTTCGGTCACCTTGGCAGCAAGAATATTACCATCATGACCGAGATCGGGATCGTCTTCCCTCGGTGGAGGCACACCGCCGATCTTGGTGTTGGTGTCAACCTCTAGGCCCGCGACCATGGAACATCGACCAGTGCAGGGGTCTGCCTCGTCGCTTCCCCGCTCCCCTCTCCTGTTCTCGGGGCGAGAGGCCGGGGGGCTGGTCGCCGCCTCCGGTCTCTCTGGGGGCGACTCGTGCCACATTGGGGGCCCCTGGTCTCCAACTGGCCCTCGAACTCAATCTTCTTCTCGATGAGCCACGACTTGAACAGCTTTTCTGCCTCCTGCCGGGGAGACGAGAACGGCCCCAACCCACCACGAAGAAGTCTGGGAATGCTTCTCTCGCGAAGCATTCCCGATCAAGACCGCAACCCGCCTCCTCTTCCTCCACTTCCTGCGCATCCTCCTCATCCTCCGCCTCTTTCTCTTCGTAACCCTCCTCCTCCTCCTTCTCCTCCTCCTCCTCTCCTCCTCCTCCTCCTCCTCCTCCTCATCATCATCATCATCATCATCATCAGCAGCATCATCATCAGCATCATCATCAGCGTCATCATAAGCATCATCATTATCATCATTGTCAGCATCAGCATCAGCATCATCATCAGCATCATCATCAGCAGCAGCAGCATCATCATCATCATCATCATCATCATCATCATCATCATCATCATCATCCCCCTTCTTCTCCTCCTCATCTCAGCCACCCGTGAAAGCGTCCAACCGAAGCTGGGAAGGAAGAGTTTTCACGCTGAGCGCAAGGATTGTCTATGGTTGTGCTCAACCAGCGATAATATGAACTGAGCCCACGCTTGACCTCCACCCCACGGGCTGCCCAACTCAATCCTCCTTCTCCTCCGCCTGTTCCCCCTCATCATATCTTATCATCATCATCATCATCATCATCATCATCATCATCATCATCAGCATCATCATCATCAGCAGCATCACCATCACCATCACCATCACCATCAGCATCAGCATCAATGCCCCGCCCCGCCTTCCTTTTTTCGCATCTCGTGCTGGTCTTCCATGCAAGCCTCTTCCCTCGTCCTTGGATAGCTCCTCCTCGTCGTCCTATCAGGACCAGGCGTGTCGGTGGTGCGGGACGGACATTGCGCCTGAGACGTCTTCTCCGCTGATGCCCCTGTCGTTCGGAATGTCCAGCAGCGACACGGATGGAGGACCAATCGTGTCCAAAATGCCGCTCTCGCCTAAGCACCGCGCACATTACAAACTGTCACACGGATGGAGGGCGGGCGGATCTCAAAGTGTAGTTATCGCTAGTGCGCCGCGCACAGTCTGTTCAAAAATTCAAACTGTTACAAGGATGTACGGCTGCTCCGTTTAAAAATGTGGTGTTCGCCATAGCGTCAAGTACAGCCGTCTTCAAAGGTACAACTTGGTCATCCATTCCGAATTCCTCATTGCTGTATGACGGTATAAGGGGACAGCTACACGAGAGGAGGGAGACTATTTTCAATGTGGGCTTCCCACTTCAGAATGCATGGCAACAAAGTCTTTACAGGGGCCAGCTCGTGGAAAGCTCTACGGATGGGTGGCGCCTCATGTTCAAGACGGGACTCTCGCGGAACACCTCCTTGATGCCTGTGCTCTGACCCAGCACAGTCTTTCGAACGGAGGTGGAGGAGGAGGAGGAGAAGGAGGAGGATGAGACTGCCGTTCTGTTCAACAAAAAAAGGGCTCTCGCCTGCATGGCAGACCCATGGGCGCTCGTCGTTCCAAAGGGCGCCCTACGTACTGAAGAAGAGCGCCCGCAGGGAACTCGGAAGGGGCGACTTGGGACGGGGGTTATTGTGCAGCATCGCTGACGCATTTTGAGCTTACTGCGGTCGCTTCTGTGCCTTCTCCTCATCATTCTCTCCATCCTTCCCCTCGCTCGCTCGCTCGCTCGCAATGTACATTAGGGGTTCGCTGGAGGTCCAAGAATAAGGAAAACTTGACGCAGGAAAACGATTGGAAAATGGATACAGAAATTGTGCACGATCCAAGTTGCGGGCCGCGTTGTGGAACATGCATGCAGGCCAGCTGGTGGAGGATCGCTGGGGGGGATCTAGGATGCACGAAGGTTTTGCAATCCACCACCGTACCCCCTGGCACATTGAGGCGTGGTAGAATGCCAAGGACTGTCTGGTAGGGTGTCTGTACTCTTCTGAGTGACCCATTCCCCTCCTCATCACGCTTCGTCGCCTGCACCGCCACCCCTCCTTGTTTGCTCCCATTACCGTGCAGCTGAATCAACCACGCCACAGTAGAGGCCTCGTCAAGATGCCGACCACCTTCGACCGAGGCAGAAGGGAGGTCGAGCCAGCTTGAAGAAGCACCCCCGCCTGGGTCCCCGTCTGGGTGCTCGCCTGCCAGCGTCAGCTTTACACGACGGCGGGCTCCCGCTTGGGAGCGAGCTGGCAGACTTGGGCACCTCCTTGCACTGAACACGGAGATTCTTGGCGTAAGCTGTCGAGCCGCGCTCCCTAGGCCACGATCCCTACTTTAGAAATTATCCCAGTGCGACCCTACCTAGAGGTTGGAGCCTCTAGGAAAGCAACATTATATATATCAGTTGCAATAGTGGATGCTGTGCTGCGCTATGCTATGCTATGCTAGGCTATGCTAGGCTATGCTAGGCTATGCTAGGCTATGCTAGGCTATGCTAGGCTATGCTCTGCTCTGCTATGCTATGCTATGCTATGTTGCGCAATGCTATGCTGGGCTAGGCTAGGCTATGCTATGCTATGCGATGCTATTCTGCGCTATGCTATGCTGCGCTATGCTATGCTATGCTATGCTATGCTTTTGCGATGCTTTTGCTTTGCCTTCGCTTTTGCCTTCACTTTTGCTTTTGCTTGGCACCCAGGGAGCGCAACTGGGGGAACCGCGCGTTTGCGTTTACCTTTGCTGTTGCTTTTGCTTGGCTCCCAGGGGACCGGGGGAACCGCCCGGGGCGGTTTCCACTGCCCGGCCCTTTAAGCAAAGCGAGTAAGAACCCTTCTAGGCAGAGCCTAGGTAGGGAACTATGGTTTCCTAGATTCCAAGACGGCTCAGGCAAGCACCGAATTATCCCAGTGCGACCCTACCTAGGAGTTGGAGCCCCTAGGAAAGCAGCATTAGTAGTAACAGTAAAGCTAAGCTAAAGCTAAGCTAAAGCTAAGCTAAAGCTAAGCTAGAGCTAAGCTAAAGTTAAGCAAAGCTAAGCTAAAGCTACGCTAAAGCTAAGCTAAAGCTAAGCTAAAGCTAAGCTGAAGCTAAGCTGGAGATAGGCTGGAGCTAGGCTAAAGCTAAGCTAAAGCTAAGCTATAGCTAAGCTAAAGCTAAGCTAAAGCTAAGCTAAAGCTAAGCTAAAGCTAAAGTTAAGCTAAAGCTAAGCTAAAGCTAAAGCTAAGCTAAAGCTAAGCTAAAGCTAAGCTAAAGCTAAGCTACATCTAAGCTAAAGCTAAGCTAAAGCTAAGCTAAAGCTCCGCTAAAGCTAAGCTAAAGCTCCCAGGGGACAGGGGGAACCGCTCCCAGGGGACCGGGGGAACCGCCGGGGGCGCTTTACACTGCCCGGCCCTTTAAGCGAAGAGAGTAAGAACCTTTCTAGGCAGAACCTAGGTAGGGAAAAAGCTCGAAGAAGTCAGAATCATTGACTTCCCGAAGGTCGTTCAAGCAAAATCGCAGTAAGCCTTTTCTGGCTTCCGTCATTTCAGGACGGCCCAAGAAGCATGGTCCCAAGATGGTCCTGGAGCCCAAGAGGCCTCCAAAACGGCCCTAAGACGGCTACAAGAGGACATCCGGAAAAACCCAAGATGGCCTTCGAAGGCCCTTCAACGGCCCAAGAACGCGCCAAGACGGCCCAATGACGGTCCCAAGACACCACAATACTGCCAACAGGGCCCCAAGACGGCTCGTGAGAGCCCCGAAACGGCCTAAGAAAGCCTCAAGACAGCCAAAGAGGGCCACAAGACGGCCCCTTGGGGCGACCAAGGCTGCCACACAGGAGCCCAAGACAGCCCCAAGACGGCCAGACTGAGCTCCATGAGAGCTCTTCAAGAAGTGAATGCGGAAGGTGTCACATATGATAGGGTCCTTCCTTCCTTCTCCTCCTCCTCCTCCTCCTCCTCCTCCTGCGCCTCCTCCGCCTCCTGCTCCTCCTCCTGCTCCTCCTCCTGTTCCTCCTGCTCCTCCTGCTCCTCCTCATCGTCATCATCCACATTACCCCTCACTATCCTCATCAGTGCTCTCGATGCGCGTCCTCGCCGTCGTCCTTATCGTCCTCCTCCTCCTCGTCCTCCTCCTCCTCCTCCTCCTCCTCCTCCTCCTCCTCCTTTTCCTCGCCATCGTCATCGTCCTGTTCGTCCATCACCCCGTTGTTGTCGAAGTCGAAGAGCGGTATCGTGTCGCCGATGCCGTAGAAGACCCACTCCGGCAGGCCGAGCTTCTGCGCGAGCAGCGGAACCTCCAGGCCCACCCCCTCCTCGCCACGCCACTCCTCACTCCCCCTCCCCGTCCTCAGTCTGCATCTCCCCCTCCTCAATCCTGCTGCCCCTCCTCGCTCCCCTCCCCCTCCTCCCCACCCGAGCCTCATTCCTCCTCCTCCCCCTCCCCATCGCCCCGCCACAAGAGCACACACACACACGCACACACATGACTCCTCCTCCATCATCATCATCATCATCATCATCATCATCATCATCATCATCATCATCATCATCATCATCATCATCATCATCATCATCATCATCATCGTCATCGTCATCGTCATCGTCATCGTCATCGTCAGCAGCAGCAGCAGCATCAGCATCAGCATCAGCATCAGTATCATCATCAGCATCATCAGCAGCATCATCATCACCATCATCATCATCATCATCATCATCATCATCATCATCATCGACATCGACATCGACAGCATCATCATCATCATCATCAGCAGCAGCAGCATCATCATCATCAGCAGCAGCAGCAACAACAACATCAGCAACATCATCATCATCAGCATCACCATCCTCACCATGATCATCATCAGCATCAGCAGCATCATCATCATCAGCAGCAGCATCATCACTATAATCATCATTAGCAGCAGCAGCATCAGCATCATCATCATCATCACCATCATCACCATCATCACCATCATCACCACCATCACCACCACCATCATCATCATCATCATCATCATCATCATCATCATCATCATCATCATCATCATCATCATCATCATCATCATCATCATAATCCTCATAATCATCATCCATTCCTTCTCCTCATAGATAGCTCCTCCCTGTCGCACCCCAAGACCAGGCATTGCGGATGCATCACCCATGCATCGGCGGCGTCCGCGGTGCATCGGCGACGCCGGCGCGGAGAAAATAGGGCTCCAAATCGAGCCGCATCGCCGATGCATCGGCGATGCGGCGCGAGTCTCCGACCCCATCTGCTTCGACCCCATCTGGGAGGCCTCGTCAAAAGCCTCCTCGCAGGAGAGCCCAGAATAGAATCGACGAGTCGGATCGGCGATCGACATGAATCAGATCGGCGGACATCGGCAGCCGAGTCGGGAGAAGTCGAATCGGGGGACATCGGCAGGCCAGTACGCCTCCACTGAAAAATCGGAACCCGGATCGGAATCCCAAGCCGAAGCGAAGCGGAGTCGGAAGCCATCGAGGTCGAACCGAGACAAGCGGAGGCCTCGAGACGGGCCCTGCCTCGCTCTGGAGGGCGAGGCGAGGCCCGAGAGCGTGGTGCAGCCGAGGCGTGGCCGCGGGGACGTGGCGGTCGAGAGGCAGGCGCCCCTCCGCCGAGGGCCCGGGGTCCCCGCGGAGGCACCGGCGGAGGATCCACCGGGGCCCGAGGGCACACAAAGAAATACGCACAAATAGAACAGAACTCCCCTTCAGTTATACACCCACAAAGAACAGGACTCCCCAGAATTCCCCATACTTTCTGGGTGTTCGTCTTGCCCCCCACATTGCCCACATGTTCCCAAGATTTTCCTGGGGAGTCGACGCTCAGTTGTGTCTGTGTGTTTTTGTTCCCCTCGTGAGAGAAGGGAGCTCCGGGCTGGAGAGCCAAGGCGCGGAGCGCAGGAAGGGGCCTCGCCTGGCCAGCACCGCGAGATCCGCCCCGTGGGGCAGCATTTCGAGGCGAAGCGCCAGGGCGAGGACAGGTTCGGGTGGTGATTAGGGAAACAAAAAGTGACATTAACATAAAAACTCGGAGCTCCGCGCGGATTTCTCGGATCGGCGCCGCCCGTGGCGCGCTCCGCGCGCCAGGGAGGGGGGTCCAGCGCCGATCCGAGACATCCGCGCGGAGCTCCGAGTTTTTATGTTTATGTCACTTTCTGTTCCCCTAAGGATGGATCGAGGCAGGGCTGAACCTAAACGGTGTTTTTCGCTTTCGTTTCGTTTTCGTTGTCCCTCGCTTTTGTCCCGAATCAGTCCGCCTGTACCGCAAAAGGAAGTCCAAACGAAAACGGCCCACGAAATCGCCAAAAACACCGCTTAGGTCCAGCCCTGGATCGAGGACCTCTGAGATGCGGCGGCTCTGGAGGATGTCTCGGGCGCCGTGGCCCTCTCAGAGCGCTGCGGAAGGCTCTGAAAGCGTTCCAGGACGCTCTGGAGCGAATTGATCCTCGTCCAAGCCCCATCCGGAGCACTCCCTGGAGCAGCCTCGACTCGATGCGCGATGCCACATAACAGGCCCCCTTCGGCAGCGCCCAAAACCGATTGTGATAATGCGCTTCCCGAGTGGCCCCCGCCGAGGGTGCCCCTGCGTTGGGAGCGGCCAAGGGTTCTGCGCTGGATAGGCCCAGGGAGATAACCGGTCAAGAGGGGTGGACGAGGGCAAATCCGCTCTCAAAGTCGGTCCCCAGACCCCTGCTGAGGTCGAAGCCAACCTGATTTGTCGAGCCGCCTCCAGCCATGGCCACGAGGGGGGGCCCTCCCTCCCAAGCCCCCCTTCTGCTGGCTGGGACTAGTGTTGGGCCACCTCAGCCCCCCAGCTGGCTCCAACCCCTACGAAGCCTAGAGCTGTTCTCCACCCTCGCGCCAGCTGCACCAGCAGTACAGGAGCCTCGCAGCGAGCCGGCCGCGACACCGGGACTGGTCGCAGTCATCTACGGCGGGTTCGTGCCGTCAAGATTTCGGCGCTGGTCCCTGACATTGCGTGGACCGCTCAACCTTGAACGATCGGCGCTTTGCGGAGCGGCGGATCGTTTTATATCGCTCCATACATTAATTCAATGCCGGTTGAACCTAGGTATACGAAAACGTACTGCTATCGCTACTCCCTGGACCGGGACCTCTTCAGGGGTGCATTCGGAGTCGAAGTTCGCTGCGAATTCAACGGTGGCGACGAGAGCAGATGGGGTCAGAGTATCATGCCGCATCGCCGAAGCATCGCCGACGTCGGAGATGCGTCGGCGCCGTCAGCGTGGAGAAGATCGGGCTCCACACCGAGCCGCACTGTCGATGTATGGGCGATGCGGCGCAATCCTCCGACTTCACAGACCTCGGATCCCACTTGCGAGGCCTAGAAGACCGGACAGGGTCGAAACGGACCGTGAGCAGCCCTGATTGGTGACCACTGGTGCCAGGCGTGCCAAAAAGAAATCCACAGCCAGCGCGGCTCACCTGATTCGCATGGCGCTCTACAGCCCGTGCCTTTTTGTTCAGTGCCTTCGTGGTCCCCGCTCGTTCGCGCCCGTGGTGGCCCCATATGCATGCCCTTCGTGGCCCCGCTGTCGCCCTTCGTAGCCCCCTCGCTGCCCTTCGCGGCCCCGTTGCTGCCCTCAGTGGCCCCGTCCTTGCCACCCGCGGCCCAACATACGTACGCCCATCGTGGCCCCCGCTCGTTCGCGCCCGTTTTGGCCCCATGTGCATGCCCTTCGTGGCCCCGCTGTCGCCGTTTGTGGCCCCCTCACTGTCCTACGTGGCCCAGTTGCTACCGTCAGTGGCCCCATCGTTGCCTCCTGTGGCCCCGCATGATCTGCCCTTCGTGGCCCCCGCTCGTTCGCGCTCTTCGTGGCCCCATACGCATTCGCTTCCTGTCCCCGCTGTCGCCCTTCGTGGCCTACTTCGTGACCTTCGTGGCCCTGCTGTCGTTCTCTCTCGCTCTCGCTTTCGCTCGTCGTCGTCGTCGCCGTCGTCGTCGTCGTCGCCGTCGTCGTCGTCGTCGTCGTCGTCGTCGTCGTGGTCGGTCCCCTGTCCGTCCCTCTTGGGGTCGGGTCGACGGTCCGCGGCCGCCCCGCCGATCAGCGCTGCCGCTGGCCAGGCCGACTGTCCGCGGCCGCCCCGCCGCTTGCAGGGGCCCGGCCTGCAGGGAAGAAAGGTATACCCCCCAAAAGGGGTTCGATCGAAGACGAAGAGGGCGGGTATCGAGGTTTTGGGAAATATGCATTATTGGACACTCGAGCAGATAAGGGCGAACAGTCTTAAAATGATTGTTGTTGTTGTCGTCGTTGTCGTTGTCGTTGTCGTTGTCGTTGTCGTTGTCGGTGTTGTGGCTGTGGTTGTTGCTGGTGCTGCTTTTGTTGCTTTTTTTCGGACCCAGCCGTTTTCGGGCCCGGGACCGTGAAAAACGGGCCTGGGGGGAAAAACTACACCCGATGAATACTGGGAGAGGTCCGGTGACCGATTTGAGGCTGGATTTGGCCTATCCTCTCTGGTCTTGGTCGCTGCTCAGAGCGCCCAGATCTTCGATCCGGGCGTTTTCCTCGATTCGGGCCCTCGGGGGCCGTTGCCGGGCCCTGGGGCCATCAGAAACGGTGCACTATCTGAAGCGAAAAACGGGCCCCGGGGAAGTGGTCGGGACCTCATTGCACAGCATTGCAATCAGTAGTGTGTCGCATGTACACTTGCGGACTTCATGCCTTAGCCATTTCAGTCAAGAGCTGTCCTGAAGTGGCCCTGGAGGCCGAAAGCTAGACATATATGGGGCAACGAAGGGCAGCGAGGGGCCACGAAGGGCTGCAACGGGGCCACGAAGGGCAGCGAGGGGGCCACGAAGCGCTGCAACGGGGCCACGAAGGGCTGCAACGGCTGCAACGGGGCCACGAAGGGCAGCGAGGGGGCCACGAAGCGCTGCAACGGAGCCACGAAACAAAGAGAGGGGGCCACGAGGGGCTGCGAGGAGGCCACGAGGGGCTGCAACGGGGCCACGAAACGAAGCGAGGGGGCCACGAAGCAAAGCGAGGGGGCCACGAAGGGCTGCAACGGGGCCACGAAGGGCAGCGAGATCCCGATTCCTAGGCAATCTGTGAAGGAGTCATAAGCGTGAGAGCGATTCCTGGGCGCATGGGTGTCGGGAGCGCGGCGCTTGAGTAAATTGAAAGAACTTCCAACGCAAGGGCGCTATTCTTCAGCAGCGAGAGCGCGACTCCAGGGCGCCGGGAGAGCGACTCCTAAATAAATTGTAAGGAAATCCCAAGCGAGAGCGCGATTCCTGAATAAAATGCGAGGAAGTCTTGGGCGGGAGCGGGGGTCCTGGCTAAATTGTAAGGAAATCTCAAGCGGGAACCGTTGTTGTTGTAACCCGGGGGCCAGGGGCGCAGTTTGAGCATCAAGAACTTCCCTGTCAAAATACAGGGTGCGAGCGTCGAGGGGCACACTTTGATTGAGAAAAAACAGCATGCACCGGTGAGGGGGGATCAACAATAATTATTCTTCAGAAATGAGAGTTCAACGACAACAACAACAACAACAACAACAACAACAACAACAACAACAATTACTAGCACGTGGGGACACACCGTTCTCACCAGTGCCAGGGTTTTCATAGGAGGCGGGCAATACCCCCACTTTGTGGGGGGGCCGGTTCAAGCTCTACCAAATTTCCAAACGACTCTTCGCCACCACCCACACCCAGCTTCCCGCCCTATGACGTTCGGACACTTCACTTCGTGGCATGCGGACGACCGTGGCTACTATTCAGGGCCCCGCGGCCGACGACGACGGCGTGCGCGCGCGAAGAAAAAACGAATGTGTCCCGCATGGTATTATTTGACAGGGATGATGGCCCTGGCAGGTGCGCAACCGTTGTTGCAGAAGTTCGAAAAAGTTGCTCGCAAAAGCCCGTTTGACAGAAATGTTAAAAAGTGTTGGGTTTCCTACGAATCCGCAAGAGCGCGCGGGATGAAATTTTGACATTTTTTTTTTTGAAAAACCATTGGTGTTTTGATGTTTTTATGTTAAAATCGCTACGAAAACTAAGGTTTTGGAAGGATTTCGTCTTGCGCGCGCGAATGTCCACTTTACCTTATTTTTTGCAAGGGATTCTTGAAGTTTGGTTATGTTAGAACAAGAAATGTCCACTTTAGCTTATTTTTTGCAAGGGAAAACCGATCGTAACAACACAACCGGATCCGGACCAACCCGTTTTGCCTGAGACTTCCTCACGAAAATGATGAAAATGAGGCTGCGGCCTAGGCGCGGCGGGGGGGTCGCGCACCAGGGGCCCCAACAATAATTATTCTTTAGAAGTAATAATGTTCAACAACAACAACAACAACAACAACAACAACAACAACAACAACCATTTTAAGGCTGTACGCTCTTACTTGCCCGCGAGTCATTCAACACGTATACCCTACACCCTCGAAACCCGCCCTCTTCGTCTTCGATCACACCCCTTTCGGGGGGATTATTTCTCTTTGCTGGGGCCGGCGGGCTTAGACGTACGGGCAAACCGGAACGGGCGGACAATCCTTCGGGGGCGTACATCTCTCTGCCCGCCATTGGAATTGGCGCGGGCCCTGCAAGAGGAGGAGGGGAAGAACGAGGGAGAGTGGGAGGAAGGGGAGGGGGAAGGACGAAGGAAGAGGGAAGATACCACGTTGTGAAGGCGTCCTTGGCGCGCGCGTGGTTCCTGAGCGCCGAAACGCAATTCCAGAATAATTTGTGAGGACGTCGCACGCGAGAGCGCAGTCCTGAGTACATTGTGAAGAAATCTCGGGCGGGAGCGGGGGCCCTGACTAAGTTGCGAGGAAGTCTCAAGCGGGAGCGCCGTTCCTGAGCAAATTGCACGGAAGTCTCAGGCGGGAGTGGGGGTCCTCATTAAATTGCGAGGAAGTCTCAGGCGGGAGCGCCGTTCCTGAGTCAATGGCGCGGAAATGACAAGCAGGAGCGGGGGTCCTGATTAAAATTCGAAGAAATCTCAAGCGGGAGCGCCGTTCCCACGTAAATTGCACGGAAGTCTCAGGCGGGAGCGGGGGTCTTGATTACATTGCGAGGAAGTCTCAAATGGGAGCGCCTTTCCTAAGTAAATTGCGCGGAAGTCTCAGGCGGGAACGGGGGTCCTGAGTAAAAACCGAGGAAGTCTCAGGCGGGAGCCGTTGTTGTTGTAGCCCGGGGGGCAGGGGCACAGTTTGAGCAGGAAGACTTTCCTTGAGAAAAAACAAGGTGCGAGCCCCGGGGGTGGCACTTCAATCGAAAAAATCAATGTGCACCGGTGGGGGGGGATCAACAATAATTATTCTTCAAGAGTGAGACAACAACAACAACAACAACAACAACAACAACAACTGCTACTCGTTTTTCTGCGGAGAACGTTTGATGGCAGAGGCCGGCTGGATGCATATGCTAGGAAGGCTGAGACTTGAAATCCTACTCCCAGCGGGAGTGCTCAGGCGGGTGAGGTCGGGGGGGTAGCTTGAGCAACACTGCGGCGACAGACGAAAACCTGTTAGCAAACACCTGCGACGCAGAGACATGCTACTCGTTTTTCTGCGGAGAACGTTTGATGGCAGAGGCCGGCTGGATGCATATGCTAGGAAGGCTGAGGCTTGAAATCCAAAACCTTTCGCAAAAACGGAAGTTCACAGCGAAGCGGCGGGCGGCTTTCACCTGGCAAAAAATCCGCCTCCGAGACCCCACGAGGACGGGAGCAGGGGATCGGCGGAGTGGCGTCACCTACTGTTTCCCAAAAGGGATCTCGCAAGGAAATCGCACAGCCTCGAAGGGTACTTGGCGGCTCGGCTAGTCATCGAAGAACCTACGAGTGTCAAATGTTTCTTACCAAGTCTGAAGCTGCAAAAACCATGTTTGCCCGTACAGCGGAATCTCCAAGACTCCATTCGAAGTAAGTCAAAATCCGCTACATTCAGGAAAAAAAGATCTGTAGCCTTCCGATATCTAGTTCCGAAAGCGCACTGATGAATTGTGATCCTAGTGAGATTCTCCACAACTCGATTGAGTGACGGGTCCTGCCAGAGCCTGGAGGTCTGCGGGTTCCCTAGGGCACAGGGAACCGAAAAACGCCTACAGGCCCTGATGACGGCAATACAGGTGTCCAGACACCTGTTACCTATATCGACCTTGAGACGGTCAACTGTAGAAAGATTCAGAAGACCACGAATGTGCAATGCATCGCGCACATGGAACCAATTCCGTGCCACAGAGAAAGTTGAACACGGAGGAGCCATCATCACAGCGGCCACTCGGCCTGTCGATATATGTCGGATTATCGTTCTCACATTCTGCTTTGAGGTGAGATCTTGATCAGGAGAGTTGCGCAAGTCGAGGCTAAGCGCTGGCATGCCCCAGCGCCGTGCCGAGCGCCGAAGTCCGCCACCGCCTCCGAACAGATCCAGCAGGTAGCGGCTCGGCGCGTCTAGGAGGGCCTGGCACGCTTCGGCGCGGAGCCGGCCCCCCTCCGCGCCCGCGGCGGCAGCGGCGAGGCGGCGCCCTGCAGGAAGATGCCCTCCAGGGACCGCAGGCAGACTGCCACGTGGTCCTGATCCTCGCGACTGAGCTCGTTCCACGCCTGATTCACGCGCCTCGCCTTCTCGTAGCGGCGGACGCTCTTCAGGGCCTGCCAGCGGCCCCGCCTCATCACCTGCTCCTGGGTCCGCAGGCCCTCCGCGCGGCCCGCACTGGCCCCTGTGCGTCGGCCCTGGCACGGCACCACCGCCCAGCCCAGGCGGGCGCAAGCCCTCCTGAAGACCGACACGTACTCGCGGCAGGTCCAGCCCAGGAGGCAGTCCGATCCACGACGGCGGGAGAGCACGCGGTACACGCTGTCCATCCGGACGAACCTGCGGGAGTCGAGGGGGATGCTGTCGTCGCCCCCCCCTGTCTTGCTCCTCAGGTCCCCCTCCTGGGGGGGCAGCAGCAGCACCCAGCTCGCCACCCCGCCGGGGGCCGGCGGCAGGAAGGACCTCGGCGTGAGGCCCAGCACCCCCCCCGGCCGCAGGTAGCACTCCACCATCACCAGCGACAGGGCGGCGGCCAGGAGATATCCCACGCGGGCCATCCCCACGCAGATCGCGGCCCACATCCCGATCGTCAAGGGCCGCCTCGAGTGAGATGGCGACGCCTTGCACCACCCCTTCAGAGCCCGGAGAGAGCGAGGAAGGTGGTCCGCTCCATGCCGCCCGTACTAAGGTCGATGAAAGATCACGCCCGCCAAAAGCTTCTCTCCCCTCCAACTCTTGTGCCCGCTCTCGAACTCGTGGTTCATGAAGGACACCAGGGCGGCGTCGAGCTCCGCGGGGTGGTCCAGGATCGCGTCCGAGGAGTGGTGCCAGCTCAAGAACTCTTGGACGCGCTGGCGGTACTGGGCAGCAGCCGCCGGCGCCACCGACCTCGCCTCCAGCGGCGTGAGGCGGGATGAGAGCGGCCCGCCGTCCAGCAGCGCGGCGAGGGCCTGACGCACGTGGCCCTTCCCGCGCCGGCTCAGGCGGCACGACGCCTCTCGATGCCGCGGCGGCCGCCCTCTCCTCGGGATCCGAGGAGTCGTCGCTCTCCTCGCTGGCGCCCGCGGCCTCGGCACCCCCGCGGGCGGGCGCGTCGGCCCGCGGGCCTGGCCCCAGGCCCGCGGGGAGCCCCTCCGCGCACCGCGCCAGAAAGGTCTCCGTGCTCTCCTCGACGCCGGCGTGCCCCCTCGGATTCGACGCCTCCGAGCGCACCAACAGGCGGTCGCTCAGGGCCCGCTCCAGAGTCAAGACGCGGGTGAGAGCCGGCGCCACCTCCGTCGTCTGTCTGGCCTCCGAGGCAGTCCAGCAGCGCCTGCGCGTAGGGGCCGACGGCCCTCGCGCCCTGGCTGGAGGGCGGTCTGACATCACCACGTTGCGTCGCTTCTGAGGTCGGCAATTGGTTGGAGCGAACATGTCTACTTAGGGGAGGACGAGGAGGGGCGAGGCACTGATCAACGCCACTGGGGCCTCCCTCGCCCTCGAGATGCGCCCCCGGGCCCTCAATCAGGGGCCCCAAGTGGGAAACGAGAGTCTTGTCGGCATTGTAAGACGCATCGAAAACTCTGCTACCTTCGTCGCCCGAGTTAAACTCGCTGGGAACCCAACGGAAATACAGGCGGACATTGCGAGCAAGAGATAAACTGAAAAGTCGCCTGAGTTGCCCAAGCACCCTGTAGTCCCTCGACCTACCCCGAGCAAAACAAAGAGTGATGGCAAGATTGTCACCGAGCAAGAGCACTCGACAGTTTTCACCGAACGAATGTGAAGTGCGCGGGCCCCCGCTTTGACGACCGCCCGGGCTTCCAGGCGCAAAATGTCATCAGCGTGGAGCCAGCGATCGGCAAGGATGGTGCGCCAGCGATCCTTCGCCAGCAGGCTGCTGGGCACCTCGGGGAAGTCATCGTTGTGCTCCCAGCGCGCAGCCTCCAAGATCTCGCGCGCCCCCCTGTCGAGCCGCACGGGCCGCCCCAAGAAATCGCGCTCCACCTCGCCGCTCTCGGGGTCGACCCTGAAGCCGGCCACCTCGAAAGCGTGCTCACGGGCGCGGGCGCCGCCCAGGCGATAGCGGCTGACCTCGCGCACGCGCCCAACAGCTGCGACGTCCGCGGTCGACCACAGGGACTGCGACACCCCGAAGCCGTGGAGGCTGGCGTCGCTGGCGTAAACATCGGGCGTCCAGGGCTGCCCCCAGTCGGCCTCGATGAAGACCATCGCCCCCACGAAGGCCACGAGCTCCTCTCGGGCAGAGGCCCACAGCGGTTGGAACTTGCCGTAGGACTCCCGCACGAAGCGGCACACGACGTGGAAGATCGAGAGGAGCTCGCGACGCATGAGGCACAGGAAGGCGACGTGGCCCAGGACCGCCTCCAGCTGCCAGCCGGCGATCTTCTTGAGTCGCAGCAGAGCGCGTACGCCCTGCCGCACCAAACCGAAGCGCCGACTGCCGGGGCGGGCCACTCGGCTGTCGCCGTCCAAGTGCCACCCCAGCGAACTCCCACCGTGCTCAAGGACCTCCAGCTCGTGGAAGCGCAGCGCGTCGTGGTCGAAGTCCCGCTGAGCCTCGGCGAGAGCCTGTCGGACCAGACCGCCGTCGAAGGACATGACGCCAGCGTTGTCCACGCACATGCAGTGGCCGGCCTGCTCCATGACGCGGGAGCCGCCGAACAGCAGGGAGGGCCCGCGGTCCGAGAGCTCCTGGCTTCGGACCAGCGAAGGCTGACGTCCCAGACGAACTGCGTTAGCGGTCTGGGAAAAATGCAGCGACCACGAAAAAACCATCGGTAGGCTGGCGCACATCGGCCAAATCTTCTGGCCTGGCTCCAGCGGGACGCCGTCGAGCTCGGCGAGGCCAGCATGCCGTGCCGCCAGCGGTGGCCAGCAGAAGTAGCGGCGGACGTCGCCGCCAGCAATCTTCGTCAACCTCATCCTGTGGAAGCAGTCGGCCACGTCTCCGACCCCCAGATGCAAAGGGAGCCCATCCAGCAAACCCTCGGAGTCGTCGATCTCCACCCTGGCCAGCCCCTCGCCGCTCAGGAGGGCGACGCCAGGGGGCTTGTGGAACAGGTGGTTGGCGCGACGACAATCCACAATCAACCTGAGCTTGTCGGCCTTCTTGGTGACAAAGAACACGCCCAGAACGCAGGCGGGATCACGAGTGAAGGTCACCAGGCCGATGTCCGCGGCCCTCCGCACAAGGCGGCCGTAGGCGCGGGGATTCTTCTGCAGCACCGGGTCGGTATGGCTGCCCGGCACCCCTTCATACTGTCGAATTAATTCCGACTCCTGCGCGGGTCGGAACATATGCATCTCGAAATCCTCGAGCTGCATCCTCGCCTCCGAAGGCAACATGGAGATGAGCGACGGCGCATTGTGCAAGTCGCCCGGGAGCGAAACCTTCGAGTA